TATTTTCCAGCAGCCAGCACTGTGTGGAAGGCAGATTTCTCCAGGTGTTGTGGGGATGGTCAGTCTAGGGGGGCCGTGGAGCTCGACAGCGAAGCTCAGCCTTTGGCTGCTCCCACCGGCTTAGCCTGACGCAAATCCTGCCTGAGCAAAAAACTGAAAATCACAATTAAAAAGTCTTTAAAAGATGTTGGACAGCACAGCACAGCACAACAGTGAGATATGGATATGGCAACCAGAGCAGTACTATTGCCTTGGGAAAGAGCCCAGTAGCCATGGATCGGAGCAGCTGGAAGAGCTGCAGTGCCTGGAGCTGGTGGGAGCCTCTCCGGGCACTGCCACGAGGAGCTTTAGTTAATTAAGCTCTGAATTATGAATTATGCATAGAGGATAAAACAATGTCCTGATTTATGGCTGGGGAATTAAGGTGTCACGGGCTCAGGTAGGTGCTTGCAGGCTTCATCCCTGGTGCAGGGTGAAAGCCTTTGTTCCATGATGGGATGGCTCCCTGGGATGTGACACAGGGACTCTGCAAAGCTTTGCTGTGGTCAATGGCCCAAGCAGGGACATTGCATCACTGAGGGACACTGATGGAGTGCAGAGGTGATGCTGGGACTCACAGCCCCCAACCCTGGCCAGGTACTTGGTCAAGGGCAGCGCAGGGGCCAGGCCACCCAGCACCCCAGGCAGGCTGCCCATGGGTCCCTTCCCTCCCGCTCCACAGGGACGCCACTGCCTGCCATCCCTTCAGCAAGTTTGTTTCCCTCAGTCCCCCCCAAACCCCAGTGGGCAATAGGGAGCCTGTTTCTGAGCCATGCAAAGTCTTCTTCTGTTGACAAGGAACAAGGACTTCCCTCCTGAGCGGGCCCCCAGCTGTGCCTGCCGGCACTTGCTCAAAGGGGCTGGATCCCAGCCTGTCCTCTGGCTCAAACCCCCCATTCAGCACCGTGTTTGGAAGGCAGAGCAGGGAGGCAGCCAGCTCCCAAAGCCAAAGGCTGGAGTGGCTCTGCCATCTCAGAGGAACAAAGGCCTTTTCTGCCCTGGGACAATATTGCCACTCACCAGTGATGCCCTAAGCCAGTGGAGCCTGGGGATGGCTCCTTTCAGCTGCGCTATGGGAGACCTCAGCTTCCAAGTCTAAAGCTGAGGTTATTTTTCCGCTTCCTTCTGCCACTGAAGCCCCCCCCCGGGCACTGTGGAGGAGGGCTGAAAGCTTCCCAAGAAAGCTGCAGGGAGGAGGTTGGTCCCCTATGTGCACAGAGGGCTTTTGGGGTCAGAAACCTGGCACCCCATATCTGCCCTGTGTGCCCTCACAGGACCCCCACAGAACAGCTGTACCATCGTGTGATCCTCAACAGGATCCCCAGCATGTTTTGGGTCTGGAGCCAGGAGTCATGGATGTACCCTGGTGGAGTCTGTCCTTCCAACACCTCTGTCCCGATCTCCCCCCTGGGACTGTCCTGCTCTGCTGTGGGGGGCAGCAGCTGTGGGGATGCAGGGTCAGGATGTGGGATGCAGGATGTGGGATGCTTCCCACAAGTCAGATGTGTCCGAGGGCTCCGGAGGTGATGCTCAGGTTGGACAGAGCCCCTGGCAGTGCTGGTTCTGCCCCACGAGTGCAGGGAGCTGAGAGTGGGTGGCGATCAATAGGCACAACTGCAGAGCAAACGCAGCAGCACTGGGCTGCTGCATCACCGTCACGAAAATAAATGAGAGATTGATTTTCCGGGCAGTTTGGATCTCATGGATCTCAGCAGCCATGACAAGTGGAGCGCAGACAGGACCAGCTCAGTGGGGCTGTCACCTCCCTGCACTCCTGAGTGCTGAGAAGCAGCAGTGTGAGGTGGCTGAAGGCTCAGACACTTGGAACAAGGGCAAAGCAGAAATGAGAGGCTTCAGGGTCGCACTGGCAGTGCAGGGGGCAGACTCCAGGCACGGAAGGAGGCAAGACTGGGGACACTAAGAGGGATAGGGAAGCAGGTGCTTTGTGCTCCCTGAGGGATCTCCTGGCTCACAGGCACCAGCCACAACCCAAAACGTGGTGAGCAGCACTCGCCTGCTCACCAGAAAGGCACCGTCTGCCTTTAACGTCTTATCTTCAAGCTGCTCTTGCTAAGTCACATCTGACTTAATTATGGTAATTAAGATTGACATTAATACAAGATTAAAATGTGAAATTAAAATTAGCTGCGAAACTTATCTGAAATTTTAGAGCAGTTATTGATTTTCTTCACTGTTAATCAAAGGTCTGAGGTAACGGCCAATGAACAAGGCACTAATTAGAGTAATGCCCATAAAGTGGCCTCAGGAGATGTTTCTCTTATTTCCTTGGAATACCTCAGGTCTCTGACCTTGCAAACATGTCCAGCCCTGAGTGCTGCTGAAGGAGCTTGAGAGGCCACGTCTCACCCGCTCTTGTCAGCACCACTCCCAGTATGGAGCCGGGCTGCGCACTCACCGATGAGCAGTGGTGCTCAGTGCTTCACGGTGCTGCACAGCCAGACACAATGCTGGAATGGCTGGTCCAGTTGGAAGGGGTTCAGGATGACAGGTCCCACCTGCAGGTAGAAGGGTCCTGGTATTTCCAGGAGCAGCAGGAGCACAGTGACCCCGGGAGCACTGAGGCTGCTGGCTCTCACGCCGCACACATCACTGCTGTTTCTCAGGTTGAAATTTCACGGGCCATTAGGCCTCAGTGGTGGCTGTGAGAGGGAAATTATTCCAACCACACCAGCTCTGGGGAGTGCATCCCATGGTGTATCCTGCAGTTCATCTCAGCCTGTCTCCCCACACGCACTCCTGCCTTTCAGCTCACTCAGGTCTGCAGCAAAGGATTAGAGGGACAAGGGGACCCCAGTACTGCTGTGAGACCCCCCGGGCTCACTAAGCAGCACCACTCCCAGCAAAGGGTTCCTTTCCCCAAGTGTGATGCCTTGGAGTCACAAGGTGCTGTGTTGTGGGAGCTGGGCCTCCCTGCACTCCCTAAACCTGGCTGAGGAGCTGAGGCTCAGGTCTCACCATTCCCTCTCCAACACTAACAACTTTTGCCACTTCGTGGGCATTTCTGCATCACAAATACAGCGTTTGGTCTCTTTTCCTGCCTGTTTCCATGGCACTGCTGTTGTTATCTGGCTATCTTAGGAGTTTACTACAATGCAGATGAGCACAATAAAAATCACTCAAGGAGAACTGCTAAATGATAGGCAACTTTTATCTTTAATAATGTCAGGTTGGGAGAGAAGCGGGGCTGGAGTGGAGGGGGAGCAGAGCAGGCTGCTCTCGCTCTGCCACAGATAGCTTTGTTCAACCAAATTAAACCTCTGAGCAGGCGAGTCCCACTTGGATATGAAAATGACAGTGTTAAATAACACACTGTACCTCTCAGTGATTTCTCTCTCTTCCTCATTTTGTCCTTCTCGCGCCTGCTGCCCAACTGCTCCCAGCTGGCTGTGGCTCGGAGTGACACGGGGAATGCAAATGACCCTCTGCCCGCTCCCCAGCATCCCCAGGCTGCTGCCTCCACTCCCAGCGGCGTCGGTGGAGGAAGGAGCTCAGCAAAGCCCAGAAGGGAAAACGGCACCAGGATCAGTCTCCGTGTTTGGACAGTTCCTTGACTTGATGTGTTCTGCGTGGTGGCATTGGTAGTGACACCAGTGTGTGATGGTTGTTGCTGAGGTAACGGGATCAGTGTAATTGCTCTCCCAAAGGTAGCGGGGACTTCTCAGATGGCAGCATCAACAAAGTGGCTGTTTGGGGGAGAGACTGCGCTCTGTCTCGTGCTGTTTGACACTCGTGTCATGCTTTGTGACATTGTCCTGCCTATCTGACTTGACAGGTGTAGAGGCCGGGAGGACCAGGCAGCTCTCACTGGGAGGTGGTTTACAGTAAACATTTCAGGGCAGGATTTGGGATTTTAAGAGAACGAAGCCTCCGTTCCTGTTCTTATCCAAGTCAGTGTAATTACACCGTGTCCCCTGATGGGCTCAGGAGGGGCCTGCTGGGAGCCCTGGGCTCACAGTGGCTGCTGGTGGCCTGGGTAGGAGGACATGCAGGACCAGACTGGGTAGAGAGCCCCATGGTCAAGCACACGGTTCCCTCGTAGGCAAGGAGGTTGTGGAGCTCCAGGGCCAGGTGCTGAGCAGGGACTGTCTGTGTGCTGTTTCTTTTGCCACAGGACTGAGGATATTCCAGTGCTCACCCGTAGCCACAGTGCCAGTTCCATAGGGGACCCCGAGGAACACCCACAAACTGTGAGCTCTTCTATACCTAGAGCCCCTGCCCCACTGAGGCCAGGCAGGTGCAACTCTCTCCAAGCCAGCCTTAGCTGGCACTAGCAGCAGGACCAGACTTCAGTGTGTGTCCCCAAGGGGGCCATGGGGCCTGTATCAGCCTTCCCATAGCACCACTGCCCTACTCACAGTCTGCTTTTTGGGAGCCAGAGGGCAGGGAATGGGGGTAGGTCTTGCCTTGAGGAGGGAGGTGAGAGGAGCTCTGGGTGCTGAGGGGGTTTTTGGGTGCTGAGCAGAGTTGGGATGCTGAGAGAGGCTTGAGATGCTATGGGGGG